GCTGCTGCGTCTGCGAGCGGCGCCTGCAGAAGGGCGACGAGTTTGTGCTGAAGGAGGGGCAGCTCCTCTGTAAGGGCGACTACGAGAAGGAGCGGGAGCTGCTGAGCTTGGTGAGCCCGGCTCTGTCGGATTCTGGTAAGGGGCCGCCCGCGCCCGGCGTCTCCCTGGCTGGTCTTGCTCCTAGGCCCTTGTGAGCGTGGTGGGGTCTGGAGGTGAGGTTTGGGCTTGCTGCCCTGAACCTCAGCCCCGTGGTCCGAATGGAAAAGCTCTGTAAGCACCATTGCATCCTCCAGCCAGAGCCTCTCCCACCTTGGTGGCAAGGGCACGAGTGGGGACCTCAGCAGCAGAGGGCTGAAGGATGCTCTGGGGACCATCCCCACCTCCTTAGGCTCGTTTCTGTAAGTGTTTGTGCTCCTGGCCTGTGCAGAGCACCAGCACCCCATCCCGAGGGGCGTACAGCCTCCCCGGGGGCGGGGGGAGAGCTGTGCTGGCCCAAGGTGACATCTCCCACCTCCTCGCCTGGGGAAACGAAGGAGCTGCCCCTGGTACAAATACACTGTAAATGAGAGTTTTCTTCCTAAAAAAAAAAAAGTCATGGTCCTGAGCATCCCACTGACTACCTTGGGCTAAACCTTCTGTGTCCCTCCCCTGTGCCCCACCATCCTCGCCTGGGACTCTGGAAAAGCTGAGTGCACGAAGCGAGCTCCTTCTGCTGTGGCCACCCTTTTTAATACCAAGGGGAAACTGAGGCACGGGGCTAAGACATGAGCTGGAGGCAAGGAGCCTGCAAATCTTGTGTCCCCAGTGGCTTCCCAGGTGGTTGATGGCCAGAGCCAGACTGCAGACCCGGCATGGTGACACTGTGGGGACGCCACAGAGCCAAGGGGGGCTGCAGGAGAGGTGGCACCGCAGCTGGAGGTGTGCAGGGGTTTGGCATCCTCCTCCAGCCAGGGCGTCACTGCCGGGGGTTAGGTTGCCCAGAGCATCAGATCAGCATTAAAATACGTATCTACAGTCAGTGCAAGGCAAATCTGAACGTTTCCCAGGGAGACAAATTTACTAAGAAAACCCAGCAATGGGAGCTGGGAGGGTGGAAATGATCTGCTAGCGGAAATCCTGGTGTTAACGCTGTCCCCACAGAGCTTCGCCCCTCGCAAGGCTGCGTGGCCCCACGCCGTGTGCCTGGGTCGCTCGGCTCCTCTTAAATACCAGCATCAGGGGAAAATCTGCTTTGCGGAGGGAAGGATTTACCTTCAAAAAGCCGTGCTCTGGAAAGGGCTGCCAGCAAGCTGGCGGGAGACCGTCTTTCGCCTGCTAGAACAAAGCTCTGAATTAAAAAGAAATAAAAATAGAAATCAGCCTTACAAGCCTGTTTAGGAGGGGGTTGGCGAGGTGTGAAGCGGGGCAGGCCGCAGACACGGCAAAGGTCAGCCCTCGCTGCCAGGCACAGGCGATGCTGCGGCTGGGGGAAGGTGCGTGGGGGACAGGGGTGGTTTCGGTGGGGATGGAGTAAAAATTGCCCAAAGCCTGTGTTTCTCTTTAATAATGCCAAATAATAGCATTATTATGCTATATAATATATATATGCTATATAATGGCTATAACAATAGCATTATTAAATGCTAAATAATGCTGATGGTATTTAAAAATTAAAGAGTGAGGCCATGGGAGGAGGTGGTTGCAGGGAGCCGGTGAGTGGTGGTCCAACGCTGGAGGAGCTGGAGAGGCAGGAAAGCAGCAGAATCCAGCACGCTGGCGCTGGCTTTTGCTTTGACCCTGAGAAAGTCCTTAATTGATTGAAGAATTTATATTTTTTTTCCTTCTGGGATGTGCAAAGTTTTTCAGTTAAAATAGGAACCAATGAGGAGATGTCATGCAGGAAAATAAGTGAATTGGCCACAGCGGTTTGGGTTTCTTCCTAGTGGGGGAAAAGGGCAGTTTGGGAAAGGCTGGGGAGCTTTTCCTCCCCAGCGACTCATCTGCCCGTGGTCCAGCCCCGCTGCCAGGGGCTCCGGCCAAACCGAGAGCTTCAGCTAGCAAAAACCTCCAGGGGAAACACTTATTTGGGTGGAAACTCCAGCTGAGACCTGCGGGATGTGAGGGGCCAGTGCAGGATCAAAAGGGCACGACAACCCCTTGGCTAGTTGGAAACCCAACCCCAAGCCCTCGGCATCCCCTGGCAGCCCCTGGCTGGGGGGTCCCGGCCCTTCCCGTCTCCCTGCAGACCCCATAGCTTAGCCCCACTGCCAACCCTGCCTGGTTTTGCTGGCCACCACCGGTTTGCCTCGGGGATGGCACGTGGCTCTGGGGACGGTGGCACGGTGGGGACCAGCCCAGGTACATGTCCCATGCGGACACTCCGCTTGGTGTGGCTTTGCCCCCTCCTGCCGCATCCCCCCCGGGTACCCCACCACCATGCTGTGGGACACAGAGGGTTGTCCCCGCTCCGGCACCGGTCCTGGATGCCCTTCACCGGCAGCGTAGGTTGTGTGTGTCCAGCCTCCTCCTTGTCCCCC